TCATCAGGATTTGGATTAGGCTCTAAAAAATCTGAGGTAATTGAAAAATCAGTTCTGCATGTACAAAATATGAAATTTTCTCTAAGTTTAGATTTATTGGACTCCTTTATGGTAATCTAGAAAAGCAAATACATTATAAGTGGTGTCAGTGATGGACATACATTTTGCACTGTTAACTCACCACAGAGTTCCACACTCGTACATGTTGCTTACACTGCCTCTATTATCAAAATGATTAAATCAATCCCACATACACAAACACCTTTACTTCATTTTAAAAAGATCTGAATATTGAGAAAAAGCATTAACACCATAATATTTCAAGCAATTTTATTTTTCTTTTAAATTGAGGATGAAACAAAATATGGAGTAAGAGTTTCCCTTCAAAAGCTGTAAGCCAAACACAGTGATAACACACACACACAAAATCACGCAAATAACTATCTCATTCTGGATATACTCAGACCAATTTAGAGTAATGTAACACTAGCAATCTCTGCAAAGATTCATCTAATTTATGGCAGCATAACAGAAGAGTCATGTTTACTCAACCTAAACGTGCCAGAAAACAAAGAAAAGTAGCAAATGTAAAACAAATGGGCTGTGGTACCTGAAATAATGGCCACAACATCTCCTGGTGTGTAAACAGTTGCATCTCTTCTGATTAAGGATGCTGCTTCCAGTCAGAAGAAACTGAATAAGCCATTCACATTGACACATTCTGGCTTGAGATATATATCACATTAAAATAAATACTTGCCATCAATTTAAGAGAAATGTTGCACACGCATAGAAAGAAAAAAATGAAAGGTTCCCAAAGAACCTGGTTTCAGCATTTTAAAAGAGAAAGGGTGACCTGGAAATTATTTTCCACACCCCACCTTCATCCCTCTGTAATCTCTCTCCCTTGATACCTTTTTGAGCATGGATATTCTTTGTCATGGTTGTACTTGGGAGAAGTAGACAACCCCTGTAATTTTGTGGTGGTCATGTCTAGATAGGGACAGGAAAGGAAAGTATAATAATATAATCTAAACTGCAGAGCTAATTATGCTCTTCAAATGCTTACAGCTCATGCACAAATACCAATGCACTCCACCATATAGGCTGTTCTTTAAATACCACAGGAAACAAAAAATTAAAGGCATCAAGGGAAACCTGTTAAGGAGAAATCCAAGGTATGACTTGACATACAAGACTGACCCCCCATTAATAGCATACCTTAAATACAATGATTACGGTATATTATTACAGTTTGGCTTTCTTTAAAAATAGCACTCTCCACAAGTTTGTCAACACCAGCAAGCTGTGTGGTGTGGTCGACATGCTGGGGGGATGTGCCATCCACAGCGACCTGGGCAGGCTGGAGAGGTGGGCCTGTACAAACCTCAGGAAGTTCAACAAGCACAAGGTCCTGCCCGTGGGTCGAGGCAATCCCAAGCACAAATACAGGCTGGGTGAGGAGTGGGTTGAGAGCAGCCCTGAGGAGAAGGACTGGCTGACATGACGTTCAGCATGACCAGGTAACGTGTGCCTGCAGCCCAGAAAGCCAATCGTATCCTGGGCTGCCTCGAAAGCAGCGTGACGAGACGATCAAGAGAGGGAATTTCCCCCCTCTACTCTGCTCTGGTGAGACCCTCCCCTGCAGTGCTGTGTCCAGCTCTGGCACCCCCAACATAAGAAGGGCATGGACCTGTTGAAGTGAGTCCAGAGGAGGCCACGAAGATGATGAAGGGACTGGAACACCTCCTTTATGAGGACAGGCTGAGGGAGTTGGGGTTGTCAAGTCTGGAGAAGAGAAGGCTCCAGGGAGACCTTATAGTGAAGGGCCTACAGGAAAGATGGGGAGGGACTCTATCAGGAGGTGTAGGGGGTATTGGCTTTAAAATGAAAGTGGGGAGATTGAGATTAGATATAGAAAGAAATTCTTCATGTGAGAGTGCTGAGGAACCGGCACAGGTTGCCCAGAGAGGTTGTGGCTGCCCCCTCCCTGGCAGTGTCCAAGGCCAGGTTGGACGGGGCTTTGAGCAACCTGAGCTGGTGGAAGGTGTCCCCGCCCATGGCAGGGGGGTTGGAAATAGATGATCTTTAAGGTCCCTTCCAACCCAAACCATTCTATGGTACCATGATGACATCATTTGAGACAGCCTCTAAAAACAACTATCTCGGTTTCACTTTTTTACTTGCTACTATTGAGTTTTCTGAAATGGAAGGGCAGAGGCAATACACTTTGTCCTCTAGAACACTTTATCCATGGTTTTGAACAATTAGCTCAGTGCAGATTTTAGTTTGTTTCTGCTTGTGGTCTCTCAATGACTCAAACAATACAGAAAATAGAGCCCAATGACAAGCAAAAGCAGGAGAAATTCTTTCAACTGACAATTATTTTCACCAAAAGCTTACCTCAACTTTATGAATCCTTTGTGACCATTATACTTAAGTAGGACATATTAAAATTTAATGGATTTCAAAGCAAAGAGCCAGCAATAGGATTGTGCACACCAAGGTACTAATGTGTTGATCCTAACTGTAATTAGATAAGGCAAGTCGGAATTGCAGTGCTGCCAACTTAATTTCATAGTATAACGAATGAATCCCAAATCTCAAGTGGGATTTCTTTCTTATTCATTATGCATGACATTTTCCTCTTTAAATTATTATTTTTTAAAAAATGTTATTGCTTTAGTCCTCTTAACCTTTGTACTCCTTCCCTCTGTGGTTTTTGCAAATATCAATTGAGGAGGAGAGATTTTCTAAACAGCATAACAAAAACCTTTTCACAACCCTGTACACAAATGCGTCTTATTACACTTCCACCTTATTTTGCTCCTCTTCATAATACTGGAATCTTGGAATGTCCTGAAAAAAATCTATGTAATTTCTATCAGTGTCTTTGTTTCGATTTAAAAAAAAAAAAAAAA